GGGGGGGGGGGGGGTTTGTAGTCCAGACAGATGAACACTTCCAGATGCCAGGCTGTGCCAACAGCAGCAGCACGTGCTCAGCAGTGCACAGGGCCAAAGGAGTCCCCCCCAAAGTCTAGTTTTGCATCCTATTACGAGACAAGGGCTTAGGCTGAAGGAGGCTGGCAGCCGGCAGCGCTTGGTAACAGAGGCAGCTGCACAGTCAGAGGCGTAGGAACCTCATCCGAGGGCCAGAGCGTGGAGGTGTGTCAGCTACAACCTCTTGAGTCCCCCAGCACCCATGGGGAGCTTGGGGGGGGGGTTGTAGTCCAGACAGATAAACACTTCCAGATGCCAGGCTGTGCCGATAGCACCAGCACGTCCTCAGCAGTGCACAGGGCCAAAGGAGCCCCCCCAGTCTAGTTTTCATCCTGTTACGAGACAAGGGCTTGGCCCGGCCCAGCCAAGAGGTTTCCTTCTTTCTTGGAGGCTGGTCTGAAAAAGATCCAAGGCTGTTGGCAGCTGAGCCATTGCTTAAACGTGGTTGGCACTTGGTGTAAAGTCATCAAGCCAGCCGGGGCTCCAGGGAATGTCCCCAGTTATCAAAGCAGTGTGTCACACTGTTCCCCTGTTCCTAAGCCGAACCATCTGGTGATAAGAAGCCTGCGGTCTCCAAAAGCAGACTCTGCTTTCCTGAGGATGGCCGGCATCCGCATGGGCTGTCCCGAAGCGCATTTTTGTCCAAGTGCTGCCGAACTTTGTTCCCATCTGGCCAGCTGCCTCGTGGGACATTGGACAGGTGGCTGCTACCATCGTGCTAATTCCGCCTGTTCCTTTTATTTGCGCCAGACGAGTACGTAGCGAGCCTTCATCTCCCAACGTTCGACGCACACCTGACGGAGCTGACGGACGAGCAAGCGAAGTATTTGGGGCTAAACAAAAACGGGCCTTTCAAACCAAACTACTACAGGTATGGAGTCCCTCTTGGTGCACGCAACCTTCTCGGGATTGACCCCGCGCGCAGGGGTGGTCTTTTCCTCGGCTGTGCCCAGGACGTGGCCGGTGGCTGTCTGTCAGTTGAAAGAGAGCAGAGGAAAATCAGTGGGTGCCTCTCAAGGGGCGGTCAGTTCCCAGTGTTGTGTGTGGCCCAGTCCTGTAAAGAGTCCTCTAACTCAGCTGACATGCAAAGGCGTGAGATGCAGGGCTCGAAGGTCTGGGAGCCCTCAGAAGCCCAAAAGCCAACCGGTAAATGATGGGGGTCTCCACCTCTCTGATTTTCCACCCCCTCTCTCTGACCTTCCCTGTTTCTGTCAAGGTTTGCCCAAGCGTGCATCATCCTAACCTTTCTGTGGTTTGGGGTCATGTTCCTCACCCTGGCAGAGCAGAATGACCCTTGTTTTGAGGGAGTTGCCTGTCGCATCTCTGTGTGCGTTGCTGGTCTGGGGGTCTCCTTTTACTCAGAAAAGAGACCCTTTGAGATCAAAGTCTCTGTCAGAATCACGAATCGGTGGTGCTGCTTCGCACACAGTTGAAGTAAACACACCTGCCTGCTTTGAAATTACAGAGAGAAAGAGCACGGCTGGCTGTGGTTGGGCGTGCGGGATGCCCTCTCCTGAAACAGATGGAGCAGTCAGTTTGTACATGTCCCATCCTGGGTGCAACAGCCATGCTCACGCCCTGCTTGTCAGTGAGCGTACGGTCCGATGTACTAGAAATCCCAGAAGGTGGGTGCGGATGACCCGGATGACTGTCTGCTCAGCTGCTCACAGGTGGTGGTGGACATCTGCAGTTCTCCTCCTAGCAGGAAGCCAAGAGGTTTGGGGAAATGCACCGTTCCCAAAGTTCTGCCCAATAGCAGAAGCCGTAGAATCCCTCGTTCTTGGCTTCCCCATTGCCACTGGGTCCAGCCACTCAGACTGCTATGTTGTGTGGGGGTGAGGATAAGGAGGAGACTGGCTGGATCCGACTGATCTGTGCCTCCTCATGAGAGCGGGTTTGGGCTTCTAGGGGCTGCATTCTCAGGCAGGATCGCTGCCTGCTGGCCAGCAGAGTTTAATCAAAGTCATTGCATTTGCGTTTCTGATTTCTGTGCCTGTCTCCGAAACAGCATGGCAGAAACCTCTAGACTCAGCTGGTTCTGGGTGTAGTAGGATTTTTTTGGGGGGGGGGAATGCTCAGTCATAGAAGCAACTCTTGGAAAAGTAATAAAAACAGAAAGTTTGGAGGCCACTTACAAGACAAACAAGGTATAAATGTAGTAAAACAGGGTACAGTACAAGTATAAACGTAGCTGGACTGGAGCCACGTCATCCGATTCATGGGATGCCACAGCCTGCAGCCCACAAAAGTGGATGCCAATTAAAACGTTTTGACTGTAAGGTGCCTCAAGCCGCTTCATTGATCTTCCTGCAGCCGTCCTGCCCTCCTGGAAATCTCGCGGGAAAAACAGTGTTTACCAGTTCAGTCAGCGAAGGGTCTGAAAGCCTGATGAGGGCAAAGCTGGAAGTTGACACGAGACTCTTTCTCTGCTTTTTGCTCCCTCCTGCTGCTCACAAACCCCTTTTTTTTGGGGGGGGGAGCAAGGCAGATGCTTCCCATTAACCTGGTTGTTTTCTCATTTCCCCCAGGTATTAATTCCCCGTTGCCATAACAGGCAGGAAAGGGAGGAACAAGCATCTCTTTCGGCTACTGTACAGGACGAACCAGGACAAGATTCCGACTTTAGAACCAGGCTCGCTGCCGTAGACCACCACGTGTGTTAGGTTATTTATTTATTAAACTAGAATACTGTAAAGGCGGCCTCTGCCAATGGTGTTTTTAAACTGCCATGGGACTGTTGAGATGACGGACGTTTGGGGACGGGAGGGGGCGGGTGGGTGAAATGCTGCAGTTGGCGAGGGGGGGGGAAGAGAAGGAGACCGGCTCTGGCCAAGTGTGTTTTACAGCAGGCGCTGTCAGCTTTGAACAGTCCGTTTTATTGCTCTTGTGTCTAGTCCTGTGTGCAGTGGGGGGAGCGGCGGAAGGGGGGCAGCCCAAGGGAAAAATGGAGCCAGAGCAGGGATCAAGGCCTCTCCATGCTTCTCACTCTCCTTGGCCTCTTCCGTCTTTGCAAGCCCTGGCCGTCTGTCCCCGTCTGTGCAGCAGGCACCCCCTCTGGGGCATTGCTCCTGCGATGGACCCACAGAGTGGAAACGCAGCTGTATGTGCCCCGTCCTTTCCCAGAGCTACCAAAGTGACGTTCTCGCAGGACTGAGGCGTCGGAGCATCGTGCATGCATCTAGGGATCTCACCCTTGCTGAAAATTGTTCTTAAAACCTTCATGTATTTTATTGTTAAGAAATTTGCCAGCAACTCTTCTGCGGCGTGGGTGTTTCCTGGCAGACAAATCTGAACAGAGATTTCATTTTGCCCAAACTCTGTGGTTCTTCTGTTCACGAAGACTGAGCCGTACGTAACTGTACAGGGCTGTTCTGTGACCGTTTTGAGTTCCCTTGAGGCGCTGGACATGATCAAGCGCAGTGGTTGCTCTCCTCAGGGACCCAGATGTTCTTGGACTACAACTCCCAAAAGCCTTCCACCCTCACTGTGCTGGCCAGGGTTTCTGGGAGGTACCGTCCAAGAACATCTGGATTGCCCAAGACTGGGAAGCATGGATCTAGCGGAGACAACTCCTTTGCAAGACAATATGCCGTGGATGTACCTTCTGCATACGGTCCGTAGGTTTTATGCTCAGGAGGTTGTTTCCACTGGATGGTGTTCATCATGTCTAAATGTCAGGTGAAATAATTGCACTCCAAAACACAGCCGTCTGAACAGGGCATGACTGTGTGTGGAAAAGCTCTGCTCTTCAAAATGCTTAATGTAGGAGGTGTTTCCACACCTGTGCCTAGATAATAAGATGGTTCTCTTCCCCCCCCCCCGAGCCTTGGCCTGATGTTCACAGAGGAGACAATTCACTTGTTTGACTCAGTTGCCCAGAGTTGTCGTCAGGCAGTCATTTGAGGGGGGGGGAATGGACAGTGTGGGGCCAGCATCATGCAGGAAACTAGAGGGGGACATCGCTCTAACATGGCCTTCTTGCTGGATTGGCCTCCAGTCTCGGCACCAAGCTGGAAGGCAGGTCGCCTGGGGGTGTCCCCAGACCCGAATTCCTCTTGCTGTTGATTTTCCTCTTAGTGTTGCCCTCCCCTACTACGAATCTCTGCTAACATGCTTCTTCTACCTGCCCTCTGGTATCCTAACCTCCCTTTTTTTCCTCCAGATTCTTTCCCTCTGAATTGGCACTGTTTTGACCCTGAGCGCCTATAGAGCCACCCTAAGAATCGGATTCTGTTTCTCAGAAAGGGTGTGTGTGTGTTTGTGTGTGGAAAGGGTGATGTAGGATAGGAAGAGCTTCCGGGCGGGATCCCAAGCAGTGTGTGTGTGTGTGTGTGTGGAAAGGGTGATGTAGGACAGGAAGAGCTTCCGGGCGGGATCCCAAGTGGGCACTTGCTGACTTCAGCCAGAGGAAATTGGCCGACCAAACAAGCAAAATGTCTGGGTTCGGCCCAAGACTCCAGGAGCCCGTTAGCAGTTAATGAAACAGGTTGGTGACGGGGAGCCGACGGAGGAGAGCGGGCAGGCCTGGAGGTGGGTTCGTCTGAAGAGCAAGAAGCTTGGGTTGTTTTCAGGCCCAAACTTTTGCATTGGGGTGGAAGGGGGGAATAAGAGGAAAGAGAAACTGCAAAGAACGGCCTCTGTTTGCGGATTCCCTGCGGATCCCCAGAGTTGCATTGTGCAGCTTTCCGTGAGGAAAAACTGCCAGCCTGGAGGTGTCCTTAATCCTTTCTGTAGGAATGGTTAGTCTGGCCGTGATGTTTCTGGCACTGCGAGGCTTTGTCTGGCTGTGAGACTGTCTGTCATCCGGTATAAATTTAGCACAGGGTTCTAGGGGTTTTTTAAAAATGCCAATTTGAGCATGCCTAGGACGAGGCAGCTGAGCAGTTTTGTGGTTTCAAAGACAGACTTCATTTGGTTTTTTTTTTCTTTTCAACAACGTTTGTGTTGATTCTTTTGCTCCTCGGTGTGTCTAGCTTGCAGGTCCTATGCTGGAGTCAGTCTGGTCCCTCTGAAGCTCCGGGGGTGGGTGGGGTGGGGGGCATCCTGCTGGCCACAGCCCTGGGGGAGGGAGAGAGGGAAGGAAGGCAGCTCATCAGCAAGGAAGCCAGAAAGGATGATGCTGCACCATCCAGATCCATCTTCACGTAGGAAGAAGCGGCTTTCACTCAAGGCGAAAGAGTGTGATGTGGAAGGTCGGCTGCATTCCATTTTCGGCCCCCTAGGCCTTGGGGAACCGGCAGGTCCACCCAGCTTTGGCAGCAAATTCGCCCTCCCGTCTTCATGGAGTGATCCAGACCCCACCCCTCTTGAGTCCAGGGTTTGCTTCTTAACACTGTCGTGTGGCTCCCGCACCCTGCAGCCTGGCAGGCCCGGATGGGCTGCAGCCCCTGTCGGCTCTGGTGAAGTGATGCTGTTTTTTTAATATTATTCTCGCAAGGTTTGCTTCAGTTCTCTTCGCTGGGACTTAGCGTAGTTCCTGCCAGAAAGCAGACGAGGAATTTTACCCGGCCGCCCTCCCTGCGGCAACACTTCCTTACGAGGCTGCATTCCATTTTCGGCCCCCTAGGCCTTGGGGAACCGGCAGGTCCACCCAGCTTTGACAGCAAATTCACCCTCCCGTCTTCATGGAGTGGTCCAGACCCCACCCCTCTTGAGTCCGGGGTTTGCTTCTTAACACTGTCGGGTGGCTCCCTGCATCCTGCATCCTGGCAGGCCCGGATGGGCTGCAGCCCCTGTCGGCTCTGGTGAAGTGAGGGATGACGGGAATTTTTCTTCCTGGATCATCATTCCAGGTTTGACATTCTTCCCAGCCCTTCTTCAGAGCATCGTAATGCTTTGAGAGTTCCTGTTTGCAACAAGGCAGGACACAATCATGTTCACTTCCCGGATGCGGATTAGACGTGGGTGCATCGTCTTCCTATCCGGGGGATTGGTCCATTCCCCCCTCTCCCCCCCGAGAACCAGTCCAATCCACTCACTGGGCTGCCTACAGCACACACGTCCCATCAACATCCTCATGGCGCTGATCGCAGAAGTATTCCCGCCGGCACTTGACCACCTCTCCTCCTCACAGCAGCTGAGCGGGGAGACTTGTCTCCCCACCTCCTCGCTGGAGTGGGTCGGCGGTGGGGAGAGGCAGGGAAACACCGTTGGGACACCTTCTGCCATCGGCGTGACAGCGAGCCTGGTGAGTGGACTGGGCTGGTTCTTTGGGGGGTGGGAATGGACCGCCACGGCAGAAACACTTCATCGGGTGTCACCTGGATGCTGATCTTGACTTTCCTTGCCCATCCAAAGGGATGTTTTCTCCTGTTATCTCTGAGGAGCGCAGGAATCCGTCCTCCCATCTTGACTTTCCTTGCCCATCCAAAGGGACGTTTTCTGAGGAGCGCAGGAATCCATCCTCCTGGCCCACAGGCAACTCGGATGGTGGTGCACATGCGCTCTTCTTGCCTAACTCTTGCACTGTCTCCTCTGTCTGTGCAGGGAGGCCCCATCGTGTCCAGAGATGCCCAGTAATGCTCTCTGCCTCTGAGGCCAGGCTCAAGAGTCCTCCATTGACCTGACTGAGCTTACCACGTCTCTCAAAAAAGGATAGGAGGCCACTGGCAATCAGACCGAGCCACGTGTGGCAGGTTCGGGACCTAGACACCCGCCCCACACGCCATCAGACCCCACACCACCTTTGAGCTCAATGTTGGGGACACATGGCTTCCCAGTCTTGGGGAAGACACCATGCCCCTCTAGTTTTTTTTTCAGGCCTGGGGTCTTCCCCGTCCCACCTGGAGGTTCCTGGTAACTCCCCTCCCCGAGTGCTTAACCGAGCCTGAACCCCTCTTAGCTCCCAAAGTAGGGGATCCGTGTGATCAGAGTAGCATAACAGTGAGAGGAGAGAGCAGGCTTTTGAATCCACGGCATAGGAGCCGCTTTCCAGCTGGGCGGTGTGGCTTCCTCACACGCCTTCTAGAAGGGAGTGCGTGTTGCCCGAGTCTTTTGTGCAGGGCAGGCTCTGCCTGCGGTGCAAGGAGGGGGAAGAGAGGCCGAGGGTGTCCTTCAGGCAGGTAAGCTCCCGCTCAGCTTTGATTTTTCGTAAGAAGTGGCCCTAGGATTCCGTTGTGGCTTCATTTCCGGCGTGATGCCATTGTGGGGAGGGGGGGGGACCTCATGGCTCTAGTAGGGTAAACGCAACCTACCCTCTGCAGGAAACACAAGCATTCCGCCCGTGTGACCCTGAACGCGTGTAAGCAGAAATGGGAGTGGGGAGATCGTGGGAGGGAATGGGAGGGGGGGTCACTTTCCAGTGTCTGTCACTAGCTAGAGCATGCGATGGTGCTGTTCTCATGTGTAAATCTGTATGTGCTAATCATTTTTATCTTCATTGTAAAAGGTGGGGGCAGGAAATGAACAAATGTCCCCCCCAAAGGGCGCTTTCATCTCCCTCTGATTAAAAGCCCTTTCCCCCCCCCCATGCTCTGCTTTTTAAATCTCTAAGCTATTCCGCTTGCTCAGCTTTTCCTAATCAATCTGGAATCGCCATACTCTGTGATCATCTCTAAATTTAAATCGTATGATCTTTTATTTTCTAATGTATCATTTAAAAAAAGACTAGGAAATAACTAGAAATGAGAAAAGATACCAGCAGAAAGTAAATAAAGGAGAGAAAGCTGCAGTCAAGGAAAACAATTAATTGTCTTG